TGTCTTCCTTCCTGTGTTTTTCCCCCTGTGTCTGATTGTCTGATTGTGTTCACCTGTTGCCCTTGTGTTTCTGCCTCCCCTGCCCAGCTGTGTCTTGTCTGCCCAGCTGTGATTACCCCTCTGTGTATTTAGTCTTGTCTTCCCCTGTGTTCCGTGTCGGTTCATTGTCTTTCCTGTCTCCCTCCATGTTGGTCACGGTCAGTTTTGGTGTTGTTGCTACGTTGTGCTACCTATGTGTTTCATGCCATGTTTTTGTTCATCAGCTTTTAAAATAAAGCTCGCTTTTTGTTTCTAGACCTTTTTACCTTTTTTTGTAGTCTGCATTTGGGTCCTACCTTTTTCCACGGATTCTAACAATGAGGTGTTTCTGTGTTCTCCCCCTCCTCTCATCACCCAAACAGCAGAACGTCAGCATGTCTTACAGGGAACACTGGTTCTGTTATTTCCCTCTTGATCCATTTCATTTCCCGTCTAACTCCCCCTCGCTTCCACACACCGCCCTCCCCCTCCATCTATTTCTTCATGTGTTGAGTGTCTAGGGCTTCTTGGGTGAGTCACATGGCTACTGGACCAGAGACCCTTTCCACTCAGAAAAGCATCCATTTTCTTGGGGCACACCCTCCCTTTCCCTCCCAAGACCTCCTTCACTGATCCTGAAACAACCTCCCCCAAATGATTCACATAAATATGCAGAAGGAAAGAAGGAAACAGCTGAGGCTCAGTTTTTCCTCTCTTGCTGTTTGTTTACCGCCCTGAAGCTCACACTTTTAATACCCTGGTGGTCCGTACAGGCTGAGTCTGCTTTGTTTGCTCTCGAGCTGAGAAGCCACTTGACCTTAACTGAGGTCTGAGCATGATGCTTCCTGGTCTGGCTTAATCGAGCATGCAGTCTTTGACCTTCTGTTTAACCTAATGTAAGGACCAATTCAATGTGTTTGAAATCCTTTGTGAGTACGCCCACCTGCCTCAGCCCGCATTCTGCCCTTACCATCCGAGTGAATTTCTCTTCATGTACCTTACTGATATTTAAAGTTTTATTCTGCTTCTGAATTCTCCTACAGTGGTTTTCGGTGGCACTCTCTTCCGATTGATCTGAAAATCAATTCATCAGACACAAAATGAATCTTGAGGTATCTCTCTATTTTAAAGGTTTACCATTCAACTTAAATGTAAAGGTGAGCGAGAGAGACACACTCAAATTAATATTTAGTCCTATTAAATAATAGAGCATTCATTATTACAATTGCAACCTGTGTCAAGAATTCACAAAGATAACTGAGGGAAATGGTTTCTATTCATGTTCCTGTATGTCTGCAAGGTTGAGATATATAAGGCCCCATGACGTATGATTTGAATGATGGTAATGTTTGCATATTTAGTGTATGGGGGTTCTTTATACATGTGTGTTTCATTGGTTACATGACAGCTCCTGCCTATTCAGAGTTTTAATTTTTTACATCGAGTGATGAGGAACAGCATTTGGTGTTCTGGTGAGATAATCAAGTGACTAATTGTAGAGGGTCTGATTTCTTGTGTGTCACATTTTTTGTTTGTTGACGATTCATGTTGGAAATCGGTCAGACAGAAAATGGAATTGTATTGACATAGTAGATAAAGGAGTCCTAGCTGCTTGTGTAGCCATTAGTGATCATATTGTCTGTGCTGTGTGAGGTGTGAATGGGTTAGATTTCCTTTGTGTGTCTTTGGATGTGCCTTTGTGTGTGTGTAGGCTTTTGTGTGCTTGTGTGCATGTGTCTGTATGTTGCTGCTTGTGGTTTAAACATGACAAATGTCTCCTGTGTGTGTGTTTGTGTGTGCACATGCATCGGAGCAATCCGTCTCTCTCTGGCTTTGGGTGTTTTTGTCTGGAGAGTCTGTCTGGGAGCATCACTGTTATCAGATGCTACTGCATGTGTGTGAGTGTGTCTTCTTGTGTGTGCTTGCAAGAGGGGACGGTTTCATTATTTAGAAATATTCATCATTGATGATTTGGGAGATTTGGTACCATTGTTTTTTAGTAGCCATCCTGCAGTGAAAAGCAGTTTGTTTTGCTGACTGTTGTGGTTTATCCCACCAGTGTGTCACTGCAGCCGAGGAGAGAAACAAAACAGTATTATTCTTTCATAAAGCAAAAAATAAAATAAACTAAACTCTGTAGACCCAAGCAATTTTGTCTCAAAGGGATTAGTGATAATGGCTGAGCAAAGCAATGCTGCAAGTGCTTATTACCATTGCTTTGGTTTGTGCTGTTTACTCCACACAAACTTGACATGTTATTAACAGACAAATTGTCATGTACTTTAAATAAAGGTGCCATGTCTGCAAAAAAACAAATTAAAAGATTAATAAAAATTAAAACTTGACATGGTATGGATTGAGGGGACTGAAACGTAATAGGGTCGGTGGTGTAATTTGGATTTTTCTTTAAATATTTGTTGAAATATTGTTTACACAGCAATCAATATGTTAATTCTGATATGTTTGAATTCTTAATTACAATTTATGGGAATGGTTTTGGAGGGAGGCCTGAGGAGACTTTCTCGATAGATTTAGTGACATTTGGAGCTAGTGCTTCTGGCTACCTTTATTGGAAAAGAGTTGGCAAGATTAAGCTGTGTTTTTGGCGGAATAATTTATAGTATCGTATGCGTTACTGGAGTAAAGGAATAAGGCTTTATGGGAAGATCTTCAAATTGCCTTTCCTCCCTGGAAATAATGTTAAATAAGAGTAAAAAAATAACCCCTGAGCAGAGCCAATTCTCCAGTTAGCTGGCAGTATAGAGGAGTGTGTATCATCTGTGTGTGTGTGTGTGTGTGTGTGTGTGTGTGAAAGAGAAAGAGAGAGAGCAGAAGGAGGTTTTCGTATGTGCTACGCAAACATAATCCCTGTTGACTTGCATGACTTGCCATTTGCTTTAGCTGTGTCTCATCAGTGGGAACATTACGCCTCCGTCTTCCTTCTTCTATCCTGTAAAATAACAATATTAAAGAAATTCCCCAACTTGTAGTTTTCTTGTTTATCTACTCAGTTCTTCATGGATGAGTTGCCTTTTTCCCTATATTTATAGAAAGCAGTGTACAGAGAGGAGGGAAGACATGAGGAGAAGTGGAAGAGACGGACCACACAACAGAGGAATGAGAAGAGACGTGCGAATTAGAATAAGTGTGTGTGTGTGTCAAACACATTAAAGGTGATGTCATTTAGCATGTCATTTGTTAGACGCTTTTATCCAAAGCGATTTACATACTCAATACTGTGGACAATCCCCACAGGAGCAATTTGGGGTGAAGTGTCTTGCCCAGGGACACAACGACATGCTGACTGCAGTGGGACTCGAACTTGCTATCCCCTGATTCGAAGTCCAGCACACTATCCACTGAGCCACAGCCTCCCTTGATAGGGTCATTGTTTAGTGTGACATCATGGTTGACAGGCTGAGAGGAACGGCTGTTGGTTGAGAGCCTCAATCAAGTCGCTAATGGTGGAGAATAACAATCCAATATTCCTCATCAAAATTCCATTGTCGTGGTTCAGAGCTAATGAGCAAAGCCTGAAAACTCTTACAATTAGTCACAGAGCAAGGCATCAATAGACATGTACGTCATGGCATATCACAACCCATCTCTATCTTTCCCTTTCTCCATTTCCCTTTTAACTAAGCCACATCAACGTTATTATGAGGGGTGAGTTAGGTCATTGCAATGGAGTCTTGCAAAAATAACACTGATCACTACTTGAAGGCACTCACAACGATTTTGTCAAAATGGGTCAGATTTCCTTTGTGTGTATTTGCCTTTACGCATGTGTGTGTGTGTGTGTGTTTGTAAGTGAGTATTTGGTAGGGATGAGGGAATTGCAGCAAGCCTGTAGCAAAGCAGGGAATGAGTGCCTCATCCAAAAATGCAATGATAAATTGTAATCTCCTTAGCCATTACAACCATCGCTGTCCCTCCATGTAAACTGTAAGCTTCAGGCTGAATTTAGATTTCATGTGACATTCATATTCCACCAGACCCTACACTGTTATCCTCTTTAATGTTAAATACAGTTGGATGTGGGACACCAGGAAACCACAAGGTATTTGTAGACTAACTTGCCTCAAACTTGTTCTCGTCTGTTGATGTAATATGCGGGATGGATCCAATTTGAGGATAGTTTTTAAATGTTTGCTGTAAGTTCACATACTTCGTGTGTGTGTGTGTGTGTGTGTGTGTGTGTGTGTGTGTGTGTGTGTGTGTGTGTGTGTGTGAAAACGTCTCCTTCCTTGCTCTCTATGCCTGGCAGCCGTTCCATTGTGACAAAACAGGTGCAGATGAATATGAAACAGTTCGGCAGAGCTTTTAGGGTCTGGCCCTTTGTATGCATGCTCATGTCTGAGGCATCACGTAAGAGCAACCTGGCTTCCAATCTCCAGTCTAGCACTTTTTTACAATGTCACCAAGCACCAATGTCAAATCTGTTTCACAGAGAGCCAAATGTACGTTCTAAACAGTCAGACGAGGTCATGAGAGACACAGATGCAGAGCTGTTTGGCTTGTTAAGTCTTTCTTCAATAAAAAGGACTCCAAATGAGTCAGGCTCCAAGACTCAGACAAAGAGTTGTCGACCTTTTCTAAAATGTAATCACCCTCTATGAGTTCTTACACACACTCACCAATATCACACCCTTTCCTGTTCTCCCATCGCCCCAGTGTGAGACATTCCCCACACTGACCCAGAATAAATGGACTGACTCAAATTTCTCTCATCTCTTTGATGTAATAATATGAGGAATGGATAGATAGATAGATAGATAGATAGATAGATAGATAGATAGACAGACAGATGGATGGATAGATGGATACATCGATTGATTATAATTTGTTTTGTGACTCTTAAAAGTAACACACATCCCTGTCTTGACGTGTCTCTAGCTCCCTCCCTTCCTCCTTCTCCCTCCCTTTTCCCCTCTCACTCTCGCCCTGTTTCCTTCGCTTTGTCATACATTAGAAGACCCAGGGCGAAGATGGGAAGCTATTCACGACCGTGTTTGGTCCCTCGTTGATCCCTTCTCTCGTCTCATTTTAGTCATACTGAATCGATATTCCCGTAAAGGCAGACCCACAGCAGCCTCTATCCGACACGTATCGACCCTTTTACTGGATAAAAGAGAAGGCGACGGGTTGGGAAACGGAGGATCCGGCTTGTCCTTCCTCTGCGCTCAGTAGGCACAGTCAAAGGAGATCTTGTCGATGCGCACCAAGACGCGCAAAAGGACATGTATGCGCACCAGGGAGCAACGTTGAACTTCACCCCCTCTGACAGAGCCTAGATTCATTTGGATATCACTAGTGTAGTATATTGCAGTCTGTGCTTGACCACATGCATTGCAGGAGGTTTTGGATTTAAACAGCAACAAGTGAAATTGGTAAAGTGCTCTTTCACTGAGACGCTGGTCTGGGCTGACACGTGGATTGGATTCATTAATGTTGGGGGACGCTGCGTTAATATCCCACCTCATCGACATATGGACATTTGAAGAGATCAACCTGCCGTTTTTCCACAGCGCATCCTCTGGAGCAGGAGCGGACAGAGCTGGGCACACCGAGGAATGCGGAGCCGGGATTGTGTCTTTTCCAGCTCACCCGCGGAACTCTTCGCAGCACAAACCAAAGTAAGTAATTCTCCAACTAGCTCCTATGGTATTTCGAGAAATGTAGGCAACAGATTGCACGTAACCCTGACTCCTGTCTACTCAATGTTGCTTTCATTATAACTGTGACCTAATTTGTACATGTAGTAGGCTACTATGTGTCACTTGATGTTTATCAGTGACCTTGTAAGACATTTTGCTTGCAATGGAATGACTTGAGTTGTTATATTCCTTTATTAAAAGGCTGTTCCCAAATTTGTCTCACAGGAATTGCTATACGGATTCTTCTTTGTCGGTGCATCATCAGAGACAGGACACCCAGGCTGAACCCAGTCAGTGAGCTTCATAACCTTCTCCGTGTCTTTTTAACCCTCCAGCCGGTGAGCACACGGGGCGCAATGCTAAGGCAGATCCTCCTCAACTCGACCCACACCCCGGACTTCGACTTGGTCCTCATGGCCCAGTCCTCTACGCACGCCCCTTCCTCCCTGAACGCCTCCCATGGGGGGTCTGTGAGCGTGGCCGCTCTCCTGAGACCCACCGCGGGGCGAGGAGGACTCCGGGAGGGCGAGCTCCACAAACCGGACCTGATCACATACATAGTCATGTGCCTGCTGCTCTTCCTGTTGGTGCTGCTCATTGTGTTCTTCATCAACTGCCAGCTGCGGAACTCTTTCTTCGCTTCCATGCCATATGACAGGTCACTGAGAGAGGCCCGGACCTCCTACAAGTAAGCTAGACCCCCGGGACAAATCCCTGGGACTCTGAGGCTGTTGTTGGGGTTTAAGGACTAACTGGTCACCCAAGAACTGCTGCACGTACTGGACTAAATAAATTGTTGCCTATAGTTGTTTTGAACCCATTGGAAAGCCTAAATCAGGGCCATAATTAAAGTTTGCCCACATTTTTCACTTTAAGGCCCAAAGCACCATCCCAGAAAATGCCCTTCAGGCAATGGGTGCCATTTCAGAAGATTAATGGGGCTTGGGCTTACTTCAGGTGGAAGGATACCACTATGACTCCTGATTCAATTAGTGACTCTTATATTTTCTGGTAATTACTTAATAAAATGTGAAACAATCCATCATCCTCTGCAACCCCCCTCGTGATGCCACCACTGCACTTTGGAAACACATTAAGTATTCCTTTACAGTACACTCGCAAGCTTGTATTTATTCATATGGCAGCCTACAAATTCGACCTGGTGTCTGCAATCTGCAGATATTCACAGTATTTCAAACAGGCCCCGACAAAATGTGTCTATTTTTTCCATGGAAATATGACTTATGGTAACAGAAAGGGTATACAGCAGATTGTATAATATTTTGTATGACTGTAACTTAACTGTCTTGTCTTGTAAAATTAAGAAATCAACACAAAATGTCCCTCCTTCCATTGTAAAAATGCTGATTAAAGGACAAAGTATAGGCCCATATCGTCCCATAAATATATTCAAATGCACTTTCAAGTGGCAGTCTCTCCGTCTTTCCACCTGCTTATAAATGGCGATGCTGAAGATGATGCTGATGATTATGTGAAAGACACATTGTCCTTTAATTCATGCCTAAAGGCCTTTCCACGAGTGCCATAGGGCTGCTAACCTTACTGTGCACTTTCACTTTAATTAACCTCTAGCCAGCAATTTATACCACCAATAACCCGGAGAACTAATAACTGAGGCTGAAGTTTATGACGATATTTGGCGATAAACCAAACTGTTGTCGGTTTCAGTGCCAACGGTGATGCGCAAATCCTCTCCAATCTTGTTGTTGGAAAACATGTCTCACATACCAGGACAGATAGATGAGCCTATCTATCTAATCCGGTGCCTGTGTGTGTGGTCGCATTTGTGTGTATAGCCGATGTCTGTAAGTAAGATAAACACACCTCAGTGATTATTGTTGTCTGTGGTGCGTATTCTCAATATTTACTTAATCTTAGAAACACTGAAAATAACGCATTGCAAGCAGAGGAGAGAAGGCCAACACTGCCTGAAGTTTTGAGTATATAATGACAGACCAACTACACGCTGTTTTTGGAAGGCATTCCGCAAATAATTGGGTTGCTTCACTCAGCATGTTCAGGACAATGTGTGCCTTCTCAATTCAATCATTTGCTGCAATTGTCTTCTTTATTCTAATGTTCTTTTCCACAACTATAACAGAGGTTATAGTACAACTCAGTGCAAATTACATCTGCGAATGCTGATAAATCATCCTAAATCATCCTAGGGATCAAAAATCATCACAGTTGCTTCCTAGTACATTAACTTTACTGGACATGCTGTTTAAACTCTGGTGACACTGCGGCGGCTGCCACCACTGGGTGGCGCCCCAACCCAGTTTATTTTTTGGAAACGGATGATCACAATATAAAATAAAAAAGTTCACGAGCCATACATGTTAAAACTTCACATTTAAAAGATAAGAAACAACAACTACACAAGAAAGACAACGAAATGAAGCAGCACCCCTGGTCTTATTAGTTAAATAAGGAAGGTAATGTGACTCATCATGATTAACTACATATTTTATACATATTCCACTTCATTGGGTACGTCTTGTACATGGATCCAATGGAACATCTCTGTTTTAAAAAGAAACAAATCAGTTTTGCTTGACACTGTCAGAGAGGTTTTTAACATTTTCAAGTAAACAAAAGTATATGCTTCTTAAAGTAGAATTTATGGCACAGCTTTTGTATTGCATTACACAAGGTGTACCCAACAAAGTGGTCAGTGATCAATACAACACTTGACAAAGGAAGATATAGCTTAGCCATATGCACCAAATCCCCTTCCACATACGTCAGATATGATTACTTGTTTGTGTAATAACAATGTGCAACATAAGAAGCCCGAATGGAGGTTTTCTGGTCAATTTGACATCAAAACTTAATAGTAAAAGACATAGAAATGTACAGATATAGGATTTGTCTAATGTGGAAAGGTTAGTACAGAAATAATAGCAAGGGCTGTAGACAGTGCTGCCCCTGTCCAAATTGGGGCCCTAAATGCAACATTTTGTCATGAGGCACTGTGCATGTTCTGCGTATATGGAGGGGCGGCCCTGGCTGTAAAGGAGATGGCTACAGGCAATACATTCTCATTTCAAAAGCTTTGATTCTACTGTTTTTAATAAAACAACAGCGAAGGAAGTATATTGTCAAATTGGAAACTTGTTCTCATTTGAACTGATTTAGTTCTGCACTAAAACTATCTCCAGAAACGTCAGTCAGTAGAGAAGGGATATCTGTGATATAAGTTGTTAGCTTGATAAATGTACTGGCCTGTACTGCCTGCTTGTGGTGGGTTGTATACTACACTGCTCTTTTGACTTTGGAATTAAGCGTATGGGCTTTTTGTTGTTCTTCGTTGATTTTATATTTGAAATAACATGACATAGAAATCGTGACAAAGAACATTGTTACATCATTCATCTACACAAATACACACACAGACACACACACAAACACAAATGTGACACCCAAATATCTTTCCTCTCATTATCTGTAATTGTGTTGATTTTCTTCAAACCACCTCCCTCTTTAACCCCTGTGAAAAAATCATTGGGCAAAATAGGATTTCTCCCTGCCAGCGCATCAAACGCCCCCATTGGCAAAAAATCAGACACTCTACAATTAGTCACTTGATTATCTCTCCAGAAAACCAAATGCTGCTCCTCATCACAGGGAGGAATTAAAGGAGGGCCATTTACTTTCTATCACAGTAAAGATGACAAAGACTCAAAATGAGCAGGAGCTGTAATCCACTGAGACTCTCACTTAAAGAGCCATCACTCATATATTTAATATGCAAGTTAAATTAATTAAATAAAGTGAAACATTGAGCAAGCATACCATAATCCACAAAATCAATTCGGGAAATTATTTTTGCATTATAGGATAAAACAAAACATTTGTATTTCACTTTGTGATAGCAACAGAGCACACTTTTGATAAAGACCACTTGGGTATCAAAAGTGTGATCTTCAGGAAGGTAAACAAACGGCAGGAGAGGAGCAGAAAAGCTGCGCCTCAGCTGTTTCCTTCTTTCCTTCTGCATATCTAATGTGCATCCTTTTGGGGAGGTTGTGTTCAGGATCAGTGAGGGAAAGGAGAGGGTGCCCCTGGTAAGTGGGTACTTGTCTGAGGGTTGGGAGGGTCTCTGGTCCAGTAGCCTTGTGATAGAGCATGAGACTTGCACCAGAAGCCATAAACACTCAAAACATTAATTAAAAGATGGAGAGGGAGGCCGGAGAGTAAAAGCAAGGGGAAGTCAGGAGGGATATTAAACGGATCATATTCATGTGGGTAACAACAGACACCCACATGCATTCACAAAGGATGTAAATAGAAGAAAAATAAGACATACTTCATGAATCCCCAACAGGGAAATGTCTTATACATGCACAAACAGAACCACATGCAGGATAGGAGAGGTGCATGGCAGAGTGAAGAGGTGGCCAGTTAGCCGGCGCCCAGAGCAGTTGGGGGATTGGTGTCTTGCTCAAGAGCACCTCGGCAGGGCCCAGGAAGTGAACTGGCACCTCTCCAGCTACAAGTCCACACCATATTTTCTTGGTCCAATCGGTATGTGAACCTCTACCCAAAATAATTAACACACACACACAAAATGGTAAATGTTAGTAGGCCTTATATAGATTTAATGACTCTATAATTATAATACAAGTAATAATAATCATAATAATAATTAAAGCTGCAAGCAGCGTTGAGCGGGTCTTCGACGCTCCGCAGGCTGTTGTCCGCACGTCGAGGTATCATGCAGGAGTTTTCCGGACTCGGCCGTTGGCAAACGTGGGAAGTTTCAGGCCGATCGGACAACGTAAATGGGAGTTACAGCAGTATCATACAGTAAACATTGTGTTTGATGGCGAGTGATCTATCGCCATGGCAACGGCATATGATGACATCCCAGAATTGGCGTAGAGCTGTTGAGGGGCGGACTAGTAGTCGTCATCTGAAGTCTGGTGCAGTTTGGACCATTTTCCAATGACTTAAGACAACATCGTGTTTTACGGCGTGGGATGCGTTGCCATGGAAACGGCATACGATGACATCCCATAATTGGCATAGTGCTGTTGAGGGCCGGACTAGTAGCCATGATCTGAAGTCTTGTGCAGTTTGGAAGCTTTCCCATTGAATTAAGACAACATCGTGTTTTACGGCGTGGGATGCGTTGCCATGGAAACGGCATACGGTGAGATCTCAGATTTCGCGTAGAGCTGTTGAGTCATGGACCAGTGATATAAAAGTGAAGATTGGGGGACGATGGGACCGTGTCGATTGGATTTACAGCGACATCGTGTTTTATGGCGAGGAATGCGTTGCCATGGAAACGGCATACGGTGAGATCTCAGATTTCGCGTAGAGCTGTTGAGTCATGGACCAGTGATATAAAAGTGAAGACTTGGGGACGATGGGACCGTGTCCATTGGATTTACAGCGACACCGTGTTTTATGGCGAGGGATTCGTTGCCATGGCAACAGCTTTTGAGGAAAACTGACTTTTGTCATATTAATGTGTTGAGGGCCGGACCATTAACTGTCATCTGAAGTCTGGTGCAGTTTGGAGCATTTTCCATTGACTTAAGACAACATTGTGAAGTTTGGTGGCGTTGTGAGCATGTCAGTTGGTGTTATGACATCATCGTGTTCCATGGCGTTTGATGGGCCTAGCATCGAGCGAACGCGAACTTTGGCGCAACAGCTTTTGAGGAAAACTGACTTTTGTCATATTAATGTGTTGAGGGCCGGACCATTAACTGTCATCTGAAGTCTGGTGCAGTTTGGAGCATTTTCCATTGACTTAAGACAACATTGTGAAGTTTGGTGGCGTTGTGAGCATGTCAGTTGGTGTTATGACATCATCGTGTTCCATGGCGTTTGATGGGCCTAGCATCGAGCGAACGCGAACTTTGGCGCCAAATAACGGCTGCGCCGTGCGAAAGAAAAAAACTTCCGTGATAACTTTTAATTGCCCATGTCTGGAGATGCTACCCGACGAATTTCGAGTCGTACGGATAAAGTCCCTGGGAGAAGATAGATTTTGCGTGGAGGACGAAAAACGCGATAAATCGCGTTTTTCCGACGCCAAATTCAAAATGGCCGACTTCCTGTACGTTATTTTTTACCCCTCCAAGAGGCTTTTTTGTTCGTCTCCGCACCCTAGATATGCGTAGCGAGTTTCGTTCGTTTACGTGAAAGTGAAAGTTGCCGGCTGTACGATATAAGCGGAAGTGGGCGTGGCCTACGCAATTTTTAACGTAAAGTTCCGGAACCAATTACACATCTCAAGTTGCAGCAGTTCTGACGCGCGTGCAACATTTGGTGAGTTTTCACATATGTGGCGGGGGTCAAAAGTGCGCGCGAAAAGTTCAAATAAGAATAATAATAATAATTAAAGCTGCAAGCAGCGTTGAGCGGGTCTTCGACGCTCCGCA